GCTCACCCATAGGACCCAGTTTTAGCAGGAGGCCGGAAAATTCCTTGTCAGTTCTTGTTAAGCGCAGCCCAGTCCAGTACAGAGGGCTGAGAGGTGGGTGGGTTCAAGCACTGGACAGAAACTGTGTCCCGTTGAGGACATGCCGAATAAGCTACGAAATATTCTGATGTGCAGGAGTTTAAATGGAGCTGTTGTTTGCTTCATACTTCATCAAATATATACATCAAATGAGATTTTTTATTTATGTCAGTTGGTGATTTTGTGCTTTATAGATAAAAATCTGAGTTCTAAGATCTTTGGTGTATTTTGTGAATCTTTGAATGGGTCCAAACCCCTTTGAAGTACAGCTGGGATCAATCTTATTCTGTCATATACACTGATCTACAATAACATTAAACCCACCTGCCTAATATTGTCTAGTTTCCCTTCGTGCCTCCAAAACAGTTCTGACCTCAAGACCTGGACTCCACTTACCTTTGGGGGGTCCAGGTACTAAGAGGTTAGCCGCCAATCCTTTACGTCCTGGAAGCTTTGGGGTGAAGCTTCCATGGATTTAACTGTTTCCGGCACATCACACAGATGCTCAATAAGGACTGAGATCTGGGAAATTTGGAGGCCAATTCAACACCTCTTGGTCATGTTCCTCAAACCATTCCTGAAGAATGTTTGCAGTGCTGGAGGCTTTATCCTGCTGAAAGAGACCATGAGAGAATACGAGTGCCACAAATGGAGTCCATGTGGTCTGCCATATTGTCCATAATTTATGCCTTCACAGTTTGGTTCGGGTCAGTTTTGACCTGGACCACACTGTGAAGAATTTCTGTCAAGAATCCCCTCATCGTAAGCGCCTATACCAAATTTTAACCATTTATAATGTCTAAATAGCCGATGTCACATTAACAAATAGAAAGAAAAAATACAGTTTCAAGATTCCCTAAAACCACCATGTTCCTTGTCTTGACCCACACTGGGAGATCTAAAGTCCATCTCAATGGATATATGGGTCACATTTGACCCAAAACAGTCTCAGTGTTCAAAAGTTTAGCACATGTACAAAGTATAACATTTTAAAATATTCTAATTTTTGTTTATTCTGGGTCACTTTAGGAAAAGTCGTCAAATTTCAGGCTAAAAGAACAACGTCGAGGGTTTTTTCTTTACTGCTGTCAAATGTCAAAACGGGTCAAATTGGTCCTGAAACGGGGTTAAGTATGTGGCATGTTTCAAAATAACATCCACACAAACGCAGGAACCGAGGTTTCCCAACAGAACATCACGCTGCGCCGCCTCTGTTGGCTCCAGTCCCTTCCCCTGGCAAAGGTCGAACTCCACACTATAGAAAAACAAACATGGCTCATCAGGTCAGGACACCTTCTTCCATTGATCTGGGTCCAGTTCTGACACTCACATGCTCTTCAGGTGTTGCAGGCCGTGGACAGGGGTCAGCGTGGCCACTCTGAGCTGTGATGCTTTGTGTCTTCTTGCTCCTGTCTATCGTAGCACCATTCAGGGTTTTCATCAGCTGCAGTGGTTCTGCTGTGGAACTGGACCACACAGAGCAGCCTCCACTCCCCACATACATCTATCAGCCTTTGGGGCCCGTAACGCTGTCACAGGTTGTCCTGCCTTGAACCGTTTCTGGTAGATGCTAACCGCTGCATCCTGGAAACACCCTGAAAGACCTGTTGTTTTGGAGATCCATCTCCTTTTGCTGGTCCTGCTTCCAACACGGCACAACATCAGTGCTGTTAGCTTCACCCGTCAGTGGTGCTGATGTTGGTGGTTGGTTCCACTGGTGCAGTAATCCATCTTCAAACTACAATCATGAACACCTACCATCTCTTCCCCTATCCTGAACCCATCATTTGAACAACGTAGGTTAGCAAAAAGTAAGTGGACCTCCAGGCTAATGGCATCAGGAGTTAACCAACCTGGAGTCCAACCCAATCAGTGGTGAGGGTTTAGAGCTCATTTGGTTTATAAAACATTTTGATCTTAATCTGGTGAAAGTCATCTGTGAAGCTGAACACAAACTATGAGTAAATGAAGATGATTTACAGCCACAGCTGGGATTCCAGCAGCACGACGCTAAATCACACGGCGAGGTAGAAAAAGAAGAGGAGCAACAGCTGAGGGTTCAGAGGAGTCACTGGATCTGGTTTTTGTTTTGGAGTCTAGCAAATCACAGGTTGGATGGAGGACGGTGGGGTTTGTAGGGAGTAGAAAGGGAAGTGACTGACTCTGTAGGAGGCCGTGTGATTTGGAGGCTCATCGAGGTAGAAACGAGTTAATCAAGGTGTCCTCAGGATAACGTTCAGCCTCTAACCTGACAGACTCTCACACGGAACACGATGGAGCTGAAGCAACCCTCTGAGCTTATCTGTGGCTCCGTTTGAGGTGACTGGTGCCAAACGAGGATCGAATGTTTGACGTGTGCGTTCGATGTAGATGATAATTATTTGAGCGTCTGCCAGTCGTTCTGACTCACGTGACCATCAGGTTGCGGATGTCTTTATTCATATTTTTTGCAGCCTCAGCACATCTCTGTTTGAGCAGACACCATGCTGCCTGTGTGTATTTAATCTCTGGCAACAAACCTCTGATTCCATGTGTCGCTCCGCTGAGGCCGATCCTCGGCTCTGAGCTGCAGGAGGAGGTTAACACAGTCCTGTAATTACCGACCGGGATAGCAACAGGTCCCAGCGTTTTGTTTTCAGAACGCCTCGCCACACACAAACCCGTGAGGCTCGCAGGTTTCTTTGAAATTCCAATTGTTTGTGCCGATTTCTCGGTGTTGCCGTGACGCTGAAGGTCAAACGTGATGAAATGGAATCGGTCAAAGAGTGCTCGGGGGAGGTGGGGGTGATAGGAACAGGGTCGGGGTATTTACTCATTTACTGTATTCCTCCTGATGGTGCTTCTTGTTTTTTCCAAACCTGCGTCAAACTTCCTGCGTCGCCTCGAAAGCAACATCTGGAATATTTAAATGTTTTCAATTACAAACCGTCTGCCAGGTTCAGTCCCAGCGCTGCTCTTCCTATTTAGTTCAAGGCTGTTGTTCGTTATCTTTCGCCGGGTTTATCTCTGCACCTCCTCTGATGTAAATCTCATTTTAACGTATGGATCCACGGGAGCTGGAGACTTTGAACTCATAACATCAACATGCAGCTTTTATGAGGGTCACAGACCTCAGCTCTGGAAGGGGTTATATGTAGGGAAAAAAATAATGACTTTACAGCCAGGATTTGATCAGAAAGAGGTGTTTTTTTTAAAAAAGTATTGTGGACCTACAATGACTATAATTAACATTACAGATACTAGAATGGTTTAATATTTTGGTAAAAACTGGGACAGCTCATAGAAAAGTTACAATATTTTGAGAATTATTATTATTTTTTTATTCGTAGAGGATAAGTCTTAATATTTCAGGGAAAAAAATTAATGTTATTTATTGATAACACTGCATCGTTCATTTAGAGCTAATATTTTGAGGTGAAAAGTCATATTTAGAGAAAAAGTTTAGAAAACACTCATTCAGGTTTTAGAGAAAAGTTGTAATATCTTGAAAAAAGTGAAATATTTTAAAAATGTGAAAAAAAAATCTGCAGTAAAAGTTGGAATTCTGCAGTTTCAATTTTTATTTCTATTCTTATTATTGTTTATTGCCTATTTTTATTGTCAAATTGATTTTTTTAAAGCTTTTATTTATTCCCTTATTTATGTATTTACTTTATTTCTTTACCATCACTACTATTAATATTATTTTTAGCCTTGTGTTTGCTGTTTTACCCTTTATTTTATTTTATTCACTGGTTCTGGCCCTTATTGGGATTTGAAATTTTATTATTTTAACTGGTGTTGTTGCATTAATTTATTTTGAAAATCAACTTTATTTCTCCACATTTGTCTCTCTGGTCTTTCTCCTTCTGTTTGGAGCGACTCTGCCTGAGGATCCTTCTTTTATTTTTTGTTCTGTAAACTCTGTTTTTAAAAGGTGTTCCATAAATACAGTTAATATTATTATTATTATTATTATAGTCGTAGTTTGAGAAACAAAGCTGTCCAGATTATTTTACAAAGTCATAGCATTTTAAGGAAAAAAAGGTACGATTCCTAGAAATAAGTTGTAAAATCCTGAGAAAGAATTTTTTTTTTTTTTAATTAATCATGTTTTGATGGAAGAAAATTATATTTGTAGAAAAGTAATAGCACAATATTTTGAGAAATAGATATCTAAATCAGAACATTTTGAAAACCTGAGGGGAAAAAATAAGAACAAAAGTGGTGTGACTTCCAGAGAAATGCTGCAACAGTGTTTTTGAGGGAAAAAAATTACAATTCCTAGAAAAAAGCTGCAATATTTTAGGAATGAAATTGATAAAATTTGTTTTGTTATTTTAAGAAATCATCTTTAAGTACTGATATAATATTGTGAGAAATAAATATCATGGTTTTACAATATTTTAAGGAAAAAAATCATAAATTTGAGGGAAAAAAGAGACAAAAGTGATTTGATTTTGAACTTTAACTTAAAGTATAACAAGAAACTCACATATGTCTGTTGGTGGTGCACAGCTCTAGTTTGTCATTTTATTCTCATAAAAAATAATCAAACATCTTCTCCCCTCCCTCAGAGGCTCCAACACTCCATTAAAGACCCCCTGAGGCGCTTCCACCCAGGACCCCCAGACCTTCCTGCTACGCCCCTGATCCACATGCAGCCACCGTGATCAGGTGAAACTAATGCATCCAAAATACTGTACGCCGTCTGAAAGGGTTAAACTCATCGTAAATCCATCTCCTCTGGAGCTCCGCCTCACAATTGTTGAGGGCTGTGTGCCTCAGAAATCACACCACTTCCAGGGCCCGCCTCCCCCTCCCGGGGCCCCCTCTGGGCTCCACCCACCCTGGACCACATTGAAATGAGTCTGATGTTGTTGTCAAACAGTTACAGTGAGGAAGGAGCAGGAGCATCAGATCATCCAGCAGCAGGAGCATCTCTCAGCCAGCAGAGGAGGCAGCGACTACCACTTCTACCACTACTGCTACTGGTGCTACAGGGAGAGAGTGAGCAGCAGTCCCTTCACTCACACTTTTAGACTTTTAGGTGCATCTTCCAGAAAAACCATGAGACTGCCGTGTTGCACCTCACTGCTGCTTCTCTTCTGCTCCCTTGTTCAGACAAGTAAGTCCAAAGCCGGCTGTGTTTCAACTTTTTATCACTACATTATTTTGATTTGGAAAAAAAAAACACTTCAACTTCCTGGAAATGTGGTTTCAAATTATTATTAATTAGGTTTCATGTAGAGGAGGGGGGTAATTGAGTGTGTTTGGGTTTAAATTGCCCACTCCTCTGACAGCACCGGATGCAAGGTGATGGGGGGAGGGAGCACTTCTCCCAGAATGTAGGTCAAAGCTCTCCCACTCTCCCCTTTTTTTTCTTTCACTGGGAAATTTCTAGGAAAAAGAAAAAAAAAGAAAAACTCCACAGCGACTCATTTTCTGCCCCCAAAGCCTCCCCGTTATCAGCTCGAACCATTCTATTCCTCCTCATCATATTTAAATCTCTGCAGCTTGTAATCTAATCAGTTTTTTTTTCCTTTTGCCGGCTTTTGAATGAAGCTGCATGTTTGTGCCTTTTCATTTACTGGCGCTCAGCCTCCTGCAGCCAATGAGCTTCCAGCGTGTGTGAATGCAAAAGATGTCAAGCGGGGTTTCTGAAAAGCCGGTTTTGGAAGCTGCTGCCATTCACAGTGAGGGGAAAAATGGGCGCCACTCGCATTTTATATCAGTTGGAAATGAATCGGGGCTCCTGCCGGCGTTCACAGGTGCATTTATTCCTCCCACATGATGCAACAGCCAGAGAGTTTGCAGGATGTTGTGCAAATCCTCCAATACAAACACAGACATTGTCTAGAGGCTGCATTCCTTTAATTTGGGTTTGTACAGTCACTGTCCGACCTGTTCCCGGTGTGCCGGTTCTGGGAAATGGTGTTTGAATGGTGGTGGAACGTGTTGGAACTGGTTGTCACCCATCCACCTTTCCACACCAGTCACACAGATATGCGTCCTATTCAGAAGACTCTTCATGTTGGGAAACCCAGATTTGGACAGAAAATCCTGATTTGTGTCGCCTTAAAAATCAAGTTCTAATCTTGTTTACATGTCAATAAGCTGTTTTCTATGTTTTGGAAGACACAGCATTAGGGAAATAACCCCACGGACGGGGCAGTTTCACCTCGATATGTCAGCGTAAGAACATGGATCCAGCCTCTCAAGGTTTCAAACCCGAGGAACCAATCTTGCAGGACGAGGCTTTCTGTCATTATTCGTCTTCGGAATCAGTTTCTGGGTCAAAAAAAATGTCGCTTAAACTCCTCACAGTAGGTGAGCTGGTGTGCCGATGTGCAGCGAGGGTGGAAACTTCATGCACCTGCTCATTCTCGAGGAAAGCAACGATGAGCCAATTTAATATTTAAATTAAACCACTTGTAGATATCTAACGTTGATACACAGAGATGAGAGATTTTAGGGGTTTAATCAACAAAAGCAGATTTTTTTTAAAATAATGTGTTAATTAATTCTCATTCAAGACCAGCAAGATGCACCTGAGAGTAAAATATAGGTTGTGATCAATCAGTTAAACACGTCCAAGAAGTGGCAACAAAGACGAGCACCGACTCGGTCAACAACGCCGCCGATCGGTCCAGTCTGTCAAGGTCTGAACTTTAAGCCCATTAAGTAAATAACCAGCATGAACCTGTATGTGGGTAACACGTCAACCGCTTCAGGGAAACATTGCCGAGCTAGAAAGTCTGAAAAATTCCACCATGCATGCAGCACATTATGGGAGAAGATGTCTTTTTTTTGCCGCCCTCTACAAGGAAATCCTTGTTCGGATGGAGTTTGTCAATAATTTTTACAGCCGGGGCAATAAGGCACTCCTTTCCCATGTAGTCATAAAAACATTAACAGCCCTCCCTAACATTTGCAGTTATGGAGTCATATAAAATACTACAACGGCAATAAAAGAATTTCCTCAACCTGCAAAAGCTCAAAGAAGTAATTGGACAACAGCATTAAGCATTAAGCAGCAGATGGTCGACTTTGTGGTTTTCTCGGCTGTGAGGTGCTTTTTCAGGGATTCATAATTTATGACATGTCTGTTCTGCACAAGTTCTTATAGGAACATAAATATTTAATTTGATGGTTAAAACGCTTTCTTTTACTGTATGGGGCTATGAGGATGGTAATTGCGGAGCTGCTGGTGGTACTCCTGTTAAATACCTCCCCCTGGCCTCCTGTCACAAACAGGTGGCCATCTGGGGGTTTTGCGCCCCCAGGACCGGAGGGAGCAACGGCCTCCAGTACATTTTCATGAAGTGGCGTTTCTTTGATGTACAGTCTAATTGGTTCTTCCAGTTCAGCGGCTTCATTGGATCCATTAAAGATGGGGGTTGGGGGGGGTTGTGTGTCTGTTGCTGGCCGGGAATCATAAATGCTGGAAAATAGAATTTGCTATCGCGTTTACGAAGCTGCCGTATCAGCGGCTCCCTGATAACGGCTGATAAAAGCAGGCAGGGCCACTTACATGGTTACTGTACGTATCTGTGTTTGACTTGTAGTTCAACCATTTATCTGCCCTATTTAAACAAGCAGAAACATGCACATGTGTGTTTGTTCGCTCACGTGTGCGTCATTCAAGGGTATATACCTCCTGGACTTACACTGGAAGCCATCAGGATGTGTGTTGCTTGTTTTTTACATTCATGCTCCCCAGAGGATGACATGAATCTCTACAGTTGTCTTTATTTCTGCGTGAATGTGATCTAAAACATCATCAGATTTTCGTTTAAGTCCTAAAAGTAGATAAAGAGACAACAATCAGCTCTTTGCTTCCGTTTCTGCTGCTGCTACGTCTTTCTGGTAACTCTTGATCAGTTTTGAACATCAGAAATGCAGATATTCAGTCTGTCCTCCTTCCAGAACGGATTCAGCTCTGGGATGTCGGTGGGTTTCCTCAGATGAACTTTTCTCTTTAGGTTTTGTTGGCACGAGGTCAGGACTTTGACTCGGTCATTCATTGGGACACTTGTGTGCTTTAGCTGGTTGTCTCATCACACGACCTACTTTCTCTTGAGATTCACGATAAGATTAATTTTTCTTTTAGAAATCCATTATTCAGTTGATGACGGGGAACCATTCTGCCCCAGAATGAAGCAAAACAGATACAAGCAATGATGCTTCCACCTCCGTGCTTCACAGATAGGATAAAGGTTCCTCTTCTGGAATATTTGTCCGAAATGTTTTGTCCAAATCATCTTTAGCAAACTACAAACAGTTGGGCAGCAATGTTCTTGTTGAGGAGAAGCAACGTTTTCTATTTAGCCCTGCCAGGGACAACAGAGTTCTCCTAATGGTGGACTCATGAACATGAACATCAGATGAAGTTACCTTGAGTCCTTGCCGACTATCACACTCCTAACTCTTGGAGTGATGGTTGTTAGCTGAAGAGGTAATAATGGTCCTGACTTTTCACATAGTCTGTCTGATGCCTGTTCTTTAAGTAGGACTACTCGACCACTGATCATCTGAAAACATCTGACTCTAATTTCACCTTCAGTTCAGCTGTTTGAGGGTCACATAACACTCACAGATGTGTCATGTTGGGTCATTTTCTTTAGGAAGTAAATGACAAAGTTTGATATGTTTGACTCGTTTGTTTAATTTGGTGACTTTTGTGAACCACTTTACTAGCTGGATTCTTGGTTGCTTGAGGATGAACCCTGAACATGTTGTTGATCCTGATTTCTTTCGGAGTGCCAACTACTGAAAATACCCAATGCCATTATTAAGATTATTACGATTCTTAAGAAATACCCAACACCATCAGCAAATGTCACCATGTGAACAGTCTAAACCTTGCTGGTAAAGATAGTGAGCAACATGCCGTCACTGAGCTGCTATCACTGGCCTTGTCTGATAGCTTATTTGCAGCGTTTCGGTGGAGTCCTTGGTAGATGATAACTAAAACAATCTCCCATTTAGCTGAACTGCATATTTCTGTCTGTCTGTATTAGACGCATTCACAACATGTGGATCCAACCAGTTCCAGTGCGGGAACGGCAAATGCATCACAATGAGATGGGTGTGCGATGGAACGGATGACTGTGGAGACGGCACGGACGAACTTCCTGGTACCTGCTGTGAGTATCGTGTGACTGGACTTGTTATGAATATAGTTTAAACTGTCATCCCTCAATCCGAGACTCAAGCTCCCGTTTCCTGTGCGTCTCCACTTGCAGCGGCTAAAACGTGTAAACCGGCCGAGTTCAGCTGCGCAGACCGTCTGAACCAGTGCATTCCCAACACCTGGCGCTGTGACGGGAAAGCTGACTGTGAGAATGGAGTCGATGAAGAGAGATGTGGTAAGTCACAGATTAGTCTGACTCACTAGATGTGGCCTGACATTTTCAACATCCACAAAACATGAAGCTCTGGGCAGCAGCCGACCAGCTGAAAAAGATTGATGAAGGTTTAGTTCATGCAGTAATACAGACCTTTTAGTGAATTATCAGTTTTTGCCTCCATACATGCAAATTCTTCTCCAAAACACTTTCCTCGTCAGTCTTTTGAGAGAACACTGTTGCTGAGTAAGAGCCATGTAACTTTATTGCACATGTACAATGACAATAAAGCTTTTCTGTTCTATTCGGTGTCTTTACCACCTGCAGTAGAATGATACTGAGGTGCAGACAGACCATTCTCCTCAGCACCATATCAGCTCTAGAGAATGCTCTGACAATGTGAGACAGATCAGAGGAATCAGTCTTACCATTTCCTCAATCATCCTTCCTCCCTGCCTAGTTTTTCCTTCCTTTAACAGAACCTATCCCGTCTCCCCTCTCTTAGCACCCAGGCAGTGCACAAACACCGAGTTCCGCTGCTCCAACGGCCAATGCGTGTCGTCGGCCTTCATGTGCGACGACGAGGCCGACTGCGACGACGGCAGCGACGAGGTCTCCTGCCCGGCCACCACCTGCAGCAGCGCATCGTTTCAGTGCAACAACACCGTCTGCGTTCCCCGCCTGTGGGCCTGCGACGGCGACGCCGACTGCCTCGACGGCTCGGACGAATGGCCCCAGAACTGTGGCGTAAAGACTCCCGCCCCTCCTGCCGTGCACAAGTGCTCGTCCCTGGAGTTCCGCTGTGGCAGCGGAGAGTGCATCCACGGCAGCTGGAAGTGTGACGGAGGAGCCGACTGTCACGATCGATCCGACGAAGCCAACTGTGGTATGATTACAAAATTCCTCCCCCGTCTGCTTTTCCTGTGGATTAAGTGCCCGCATTAGCTTCGAGTCATCACCTCTTATTTCATCCCTTTAGCTCGATCCACCTGCCGTCCTGACGAGTTTGAATGCGGTGATGGGACTTGCATCCACGGCAGCCGCCAGTGCAACCATCAGTACGACTGCAGGGACATGAGCGATGAAACCGGATGTGTCAACGGTATGAATCTCCTCCTGCAGCCGTCCTACCTGATTCTGAACTGCAGAATCTCTAACCTATGTCTGTTTTATCTCCACGTTTCAAACACAGCAACCCGCTGCGAGGGCCCAACCAGGTTTAAGTGCCGCAGCGGGGAGTGCATCAGCATGGAGAAGGTGTGCGACAAGAGGCGCGATTGCAGGGATTGGTCAGATGAGCCTCTTAGGGAATGTGGTGAGTGCAGAGGCCCCTCATTCAGAACTGTCTGCTGAATTGATGCTTTGATGTGTATAATGAGGGCGTCTGCAGTTTCAGAGCTCTCGTCCTTTTCTTCTTCCCACCGCAGGTTCCAATGAGTGTCTGTACAACAACGGCGGCTGCTCCCACGTTTGCAAAGACCTAAAGATCGGCTACGAGTGCTTGTGTCCGTCCGGTTATCGGCTGACTGACACCAAGCGCTGTCAAGGTGAGTCGCAAAGCATCCACGTGCTGCTTTCTGCTCATTATCAGATTCCAACATGAACTTCACTCAGGTTAACGAATGATGCCAGTAAACTATGATGCAAGCCCGTCCCTGTCACCTACTGTGCTTTTAGATAAAGAGGGATTTTCCTAACTCTCTCCACTCAGTTTGATTTTTAACTCGTCCGTTTCTTTGACTCAGACATCGACGAGTGCGCCAACCCGGACACCTGCAGTCAAATCTGCATCAACCAGATGGGCAGCTACAAGTGTGAGTGTGAGGAGGGTTACCAGGTTGACCCAACGACCAAAGCCTGCAAGGCCATTGGTAAGTACGAGCTCTTTTTTTTTCATTATTGTGTAACAGTTAGATGTTGAAAGATGATGAGTAAACTTAGAAAATGTTATTCGTCCTGTTACATTAGTAGAAATAACCAAATAAATCATTTAACTCCCTTTAATGTTCTTGGATTTACACTTTCTGTTAAAGAAATATAATCTTTAGTGCAGCTAATGTGCATTGTAGTTTAATTTTACAAAAGGATCAGTTGCTATTCCAGGGGTTTTCCTGCCTCGAAAAACTTTGCACAATAATAAGCATGATTGGTCTGCATAAAGTAAAGAATCTGTGTGACTCTATTTGACAGAAATCTATTAAATTTTTTGTTTTTTTTCCCCTCCTGGAACATTTAACAAACAAATCCTTAAGTAAATGAAACACAAATGAACTAAACAGGTTAAAATATATAGAGAAAAAAATTGAGTGGAACTTTAAATGTTCACCGATTAAGAAAAAAAAATCCACATTCAGTTTGTGTTTCACTCAAATGGCATCGAGGCAGCCTCGTCTGCACTGATTTCCTCAGGATGTTACGTTTAGTTCACGTTATTTCAACACCTGCTGCTGTCACACTTTGTGTTGTGTTCATCCCACGTTATCCAAAACAGAGGGTCCAGTTAGTGCTAGATGTTTCTCTTTCATTGATCCATTTGTGGTGATAACACACAACCAGATTGTTATACCTGAAACCTCTCTGAAGCCCAGACCAGTGCCAGGGTTCATAAGCTAGCATTTAGAAAAATGTGTTTTATTTCAGTTTGACTCAAGACAATCAGCAATTTTAATAATATTCTCGTAGTTTAATTGTAGCAACTGGACTTGATTGAGTTCCTTGAAGACGTTCCACCTCTCATCCAAGAGGCTTCATCAGTTCGAGTCTAATAATATAAGTGATTTTTTATTTTTTATTCTGTAGGTACCATAGCCTACCTGTTCTTCACCAACCGCCATGAAGTCAGAAAGATGACTTTGGACAAAAGTGAATACACAAGAGTGATCCCCCGTCTGAAGAACGTTGTGGCTCTGGACATGAACATGGCCGCCAAAGAGATCTACTGGTCCGACATCTCCCAGAAGAAGATCTACAGGTCTGAGCAAGATCAACATCAGAATTAATAAGTGTTTCCTTTTTACTTTTCTTCTGTTTGACGCCTGTTTTTACTTTCAACTCAGAACGTCGATGGACTCGGCTGAAGACTCCACTTATCACCACACGGTCATCGACAGTGACGTTGATGCTCCCGAAGGAATTGCCTTCGACTGGATCCACAGAAACCTCTACTGGACCGACAGCGTTCGCAGCACTATCTCGGTGGTAACAGCTGACGGCAGCCGCCGCAAAACTCTGTTCCGCCGAGACTTACTGAAACCCCGCGCTATTGTGGTCGATCCCCACAGCAAGTAAGCCGACAGCGCCGGTAAAAGTACATGCACACAATGAATTTGAGCATTTTCATTTACAATATTTTTACTTCCCAGTTTCATTTATTGGACCGACTGGGGGAATCCGGCTAAGATTGAGAAGGGAGGTCTAAATGGAGGCGATCGCACCGCTCTGGTCACCGACAACATCGAGTGGCCCAATGGCATCACATTAGGTAAACTCAACCTCTCTCTGGTTTCAAGTTGTTGCTTATCTTATCATTTGAGCACAAGTACCAGTGACCAGTCTGGTCTGACCTGTTGACCCCCCACCCTCCCTCCACCAAAACCCACTCGATTTCTCCCCAGACCTGTTGAACCAGCGGCTCTACTGGGTGGACTCTAAGCTACACACCCTCTCCAGTATCGACGTGCAGGGCGGTGGTCGACGCACACTCATCGTGGACGAACACAAGCTCGCTCACCCACTGGGACTCACTGTGTTCGAGGTAGACGTTTACCCAGACCTGCAACATCACATAAACTCCTCACTGCACATGTAATCAGCAGCATCACTCACTGCCTCTTAAATGTTCAAGCTGGGTTGTTTCTCTGCTTGTAGGAAAGAGTGTTCTGGACAGACGTCAGTAACAACGCCATCCTCAGTGCAAACAGGCTGACGGGTGACGACATCGCTCCACTGGCGGAGCACCTATCATCACCAGAGGACATCATTCTGTACCATAACCTCAAGCAGCCTGCTGGTAGGACAGTTACACCACTAAAACACCATTATAGTGTGGGTACATTATTTAGTTATGTCATAAGAATAGCTTATAATATCATTGCATGGTTGGCTCCACATACCAGGCCTCGAAACGGGAACTAAATAAGAGTAAAAGTGTTCAGTGGTAATTATATGAAGCATTTATGGACAATTTTTGTGTTTATTGCCTTCATTTTCAAAATATAAATGATCCATGTTGCAAGTAAACACTGATCATATCCCATTCTAAATCACTGTAACATCACAGATCACTGGCTTTAAAGGAATAGTATGACATTTTCTCACCCAGAGTTTGATGAGAACATCGATGCCACCTTTCAAGTTGAAACGTCAATATTTACAGTTACTTCCTGTCTGTTTCTAGCAAATGAATGCAGGTAGTGTTGTAGCCAAGACCATTTAAACCAAGACAATATCATAGGAGAAGAGGGAATGTGCTAAAACCATGACTTGGAGGAGCAGAGGCCAACTTAAGACCAGTGATTAGTGCGAGTCCTTCACTGCATGACACACTTAAGATAAACTATGCAAACCATTGCATTGCACCACTGACACCAGCTCCCTGAGACATACAGTATTTGCACAAGCTAACATTCACTAAACACTCTTTGGGTGAAGGGTAAAGAGATTTCCAAAGGGTTTTGGTACATAGCACTTCAGTAGAGAGCAGCTAGACTTTTCTTTTTGGTTCTTGAATGATGTTTCACCTCTCAGCTAACAGGCTTCCCAATGTTCTGACTGACTTATGGGGCGTCCAAGGGATTTATTCGTATCCCTGAATGACATGGCTCATGGCCTGTTAGTGACCCAAGACTCACATGCCTAATAATGGTGAAACTGCTTCTGGAAGGATCTCAGGATCTCGTTCTAAGTATCTGATAAGTGGTGTTGAAGACCCCCTGCTCAGTCTAGAAATTCATGTGAGTCTCGTGTCATCAACAGGCTTGTGCAGTGTGGTTTGGTGATAACAATAAATAGCTCGGATTCAGTAGCAGCCACTTAAAACAGAGGAAGCCTCTTGGAAGAAAGTTAACTTTTATTCAACCCATTCAAGAGTTTCCTTCTAATAAAACACTTGATCTTAAATATACCATAACCAGGATGACTAACAAACATTTCAAATTAGAAATGAGTCAAGTTCTTGGTTGCATTTGAAGAAGGACTGCATGTGCATTGCATTTATCAACAGATGCACAGAGAAGTTCTTGAATGACCTTAAAATGAAATCCAGAGATACAAAGACAGAGCTGAATAAAAATATGTTTGATTCCGAGATGAGGTCGACGCCTTCAAAATGTGGCCTCGAGACCAACCTCGAGACAAGACCAATCTTGACGACTAGAACACGACACTGGATGCTGATAGATGGATTTTGTTATCGATGGAAAGAGTCAGTTTAGCTGTTTCCCCTGCTCCCAGTTTTTGTGCCAAGCTAAGCTAACTGGCTTGTTAGCGTAACTTTATAGCATACATCTTGCATAAAGACATGTGATTGGTGGCAATCTTTTCATCCAGCTCTCTGCAAGAAATAAACAATTGTGCTTCTTCCCGTTGCAGGCAGGGACTGGTGTCAGGTGAACAATGGCGGCTGTGAGTTCTTGTGCCTGGCAGCTCCTCAGGTGGGCCGACATCCCCCCAAATATACCTGCGTCTGTCCAGACAACATGATGCTGGCCCGGAATATGAGGACATGTGTACCTGGTATGTCAGTGGTTAGAATCAGAATACATTGCAAGATCATAATAAAATCATTCCCGTCTTATCTCGAGCCATCCTCTAGCAGACTCTCAACCCTTCTCCTCTGTTTCTACACCAGCTGTTCCAACAACTGCAGCTCCTGAGCCGCCTCAAGTTCCCTCTACCCGCCCCCCTCGTCGGCCAACAGCGCCACCAAGTACCACACCAAGTACCACACCCAGGACCACACCCAGGACCACACCGAAGCCCCAGATCCGCACCACCACCCCAGTGCCTGTCATAATCACCAGGCCCGTCACTACGCCAGTGCCGCGCACCACGAAGCCTCCGGTCACAACCACAACACCTGAACCAAAGAAGCCTGAAGTCCTTCAGACCACCACAGAGGCTCCGGTCACCTCTACAGGCGAGTTGCCAAAGCGCATCATTTCTGTTGGCTGCCTTCGTGCAGATCAGCTCCATGTATCATTAACTCACATTGCCATGTTTACCTTTCCTTCAGATGTCGTACATGAATATGCAGAAGCCGTACCCAAGACTGCCTCCAACACCCCGATAGCTCTTTACATCGTCTTACCTCTGGGTAAGTTGCTGCTGCTTCTCAGAAAACACCAACAATTTGAAACGATAACAGCCAGTCATCATGTGACACCTCTCTCTGGGTCTCTCTCTATCAAACAGCGATCGTTTGTCTGGTGGCCGCTGGAAGCGTTCTGCTGTGGAGGAACTACAGGTTAAAGAACACCAACACGATTCACTTCGACAACCCCGTCTATCAGAAAACCACCGAGGACCAAGTGCACATCTGGAGGAGCCACAGCCCCGATGGTTACTCCTACCCAAAAGTAAGAGGAGCTCATTCTACAATATTGTAATTAATTTAAATCTAAAACTGCTTATATAGTAGATAAAACAAACTGTTTGGTTGTAATAAAGGCTGCAGTATGTTCTAACATCCATTTTATTTGCTCTCCTGTCAGAGGCAAGTCGTGAGCTTGGATGAAGAGGCCGACAATCCGGCCTTCACAGAAAACTGAAAAGTGTCGGCCAGAGTGGAGAGAGGAGCCTTAACAATAAGCTACCTTGAACGTCCTTCAGCATTTTTACCTCACACAGCACAAAGATACGGAAGTCAAAGCCTGTATCTGACAGCCTTCAACCACTATATCCTCACGGACGAACAAGCGCTCTGCAGTGGAAATATCAGGGTGAAGCATTATTTCCATCACGTTAACGTTTGGCTTTTCATCCCCTTCACAAAACCAAATACCAAATCCTCCGTCTGCTTTCTCTTTAACTTTACTATAAATGGAGAACTGTGTCATTCTTAATATCTTGCTTTTCATGCATAATTTTAGCTTAGCACATTCGATGCAACTTCTAAATGGTCAAGTTTTCTAACTGGTGCCAGAACATCAGAACTAAGGTCTGTAAATATCACAGTTTAGCTGTTAATGGAACATTATTATGTGTTGCACTATTTATAATTTAAAATAACTGTTTTACATTTTGGAAAATGCATAATTACTCTTTTTTAACATTAGATGAGAAGATCGATACCACTCTTATGTCTGTGCATTAAATGTAAAGCTGGAGCCAGGAGGTGCTTAGCTTAGCTTAGCTTAGCATAAAGACTGGATGCAGCAGGAAACAGCTACAGTAACTTAAGCCTCTTATTAGTATGTTGTGGCTGGTTTTCAGCCTTGGTCATGTTTGGACAGCCAAGCTACCCATTTCCCTCTGTTACCAGTCTTCTATGCTAAGCTAGGCTAACTGCCTTGAGTCTGTAGCTCCAGGTGTGAATCTTCTTATCTAGTTCGTGGTAGCAAACTAGATATTGCTTTTTCCTTCACAGGAAACAAACCCTGAGTTTTAGTCATGACAAACATTATCACTAAATCAGATTTAAACCACAAGTTCAACATTTTGGGAAATACACCTGCTAGCTTGACAGTTAGATGAGAAGATAAGCTAACACCTGCTAGCTTAGCTTACTACAAAGACTATGTAGCTAGCCAAGCTTAGTCCAATGGGAATAAAATCACCAATAGCACATCTGAAGTCAACATATTAGCTCTTGTTCGTTCATACAAAATCAAAGTGTAACACGACTAAGCAGCAACTATGTGCAGCAGCTACTTCCTGGTCCACACCGGTTGCCAGGCAACCTGTGGAGACTGCAAGTTTCTCATCCCAGTGTTAATTTTCTTTTTGTTGTGGAAATAAGATGTGTTAATTTGTAAGAAAGAAAGTGGGGGGAGTTTGTTAGCTTTGAGCAAAACCAAGTTCGGTGTTTCCATTTGTTTGCTATAAGCTAAGCTAACATGCTAATCATAGTATTTATCATACAGGCAGTGAATAAGGCCTTGTTCACACTGATTCTGATGTTTTGCAGAATGAACAGATACCTCTACGTTTAAGAGGTGTTCCTTTAAATGTTTTTTTTTCTAAATGCTTTTTAAAAAAACTCTTGTTTATCTTGGAGGACATGTTGAAATGGAAAACAACAGCCACACCTCAATATGCATGGGCTTATTGTTGGTTTGTGTAATGTGCATGTGCCTAAAACAACAACAACAACAACAACAGTTTGGTTAGCGCTAACAGCTACAAGTTTATCATTTAGCTTGGCTTTTTGCTGTGACCTCTGCACATCTGTGGACCAGAGTGTGTTTCCCAAAATGTCAAACTGTTCCTTTAAAGCTGAATATACACCAGTCAGTGTGATCCATGTGCCGGTGCGACCAGTGTGACCTCAATACGTGTCATAGCAATGCGTGTGTGTGTGTAATTTTGACAACCTACTCAGCAGTTGTGCAAAAAAAAATATCATCCATGACCTCAAAGGAAACACAGCAGACAATGTGCCTTGATTATACTGTCCTGTGTGATAGCATTCCTCATGTCACCACGTGGCCATAAAGCATCTTCAGCAGCTGCGTGTATCTTCAGAGCTTCGTCTCCTGATGCCCTTTTTCAGCTCATCTTTAGATTCCCCTTCCCCTTATGCCCCCCTTTCCAGGAGGACCAGCGCATTCCTCGAAAGGCCAAAAAAAAAAAAAAAAAAGCTTTGATGCAACCATGTGTGAGCAATAGAACCATGTCCAACGCCTGGTACCGTGACACGTGTATATTTATGTGCTCCCCTAAGACCGGCTTGCCTTATTCCAGCATTCCTGACCAGAAGAAGGCCGTGTGCTGTGCTGTATCATAGTGTTTTAAAAAAAAAACAACAACGCTGCGGCTGTTTGCGTTGCAGACGAATGTGTGCCTTTTTAAAATGACAGAATTTGTTCCCACGTCGGTGCTATTGAACTTTGTATAGAAATCAATGTGTCTGCCTGTTTACAGCGAGGGTACGAGTGAAGCCGTTTTTACATTCAGTGCAGATGAAGCGTGTAAATATGATGTTCATACATGTACATATTCTGTTTTGTTTTTTGGGTAATGTTGTTTTAGCCGTTGAACATTCGCTGTACATAAATAAATGCTTCTATTTATTATAGAACCGACGCTCTCTGGGTGGTTTTTGGACACTTTAAGCCTGTCAGTGTTTCTTTTATTTCGGTGATATTTGTTTTATACTCAGAGTTGCAGAAGTTTCACGACTACCAGCAGCTGTTTTTGAGCTATAAGCCATTTATTTTCCTACTTGCTAAGTAGCTTTCATGCAGTCAGCTTTAAAGGCAACTTAAAGGTTGTTTTTTTAACCCAGTTATTTCTGTAGCAGAACTGAAGAAAAGTGAAGCTTCATTTGTTTGATTTCTCAGAAACTCTTTTTCCTTTCCTCCAAACCTACTGTACGTATATTTTACTTTCCTTCCCTCTGTTGTTATTAATGCCATTTTTTTTTAAAGCATGTCGACATGACTGGTAACGTGAGATCCTTTTTTTTTTTTCCCTTTCTGGGGGCCGGCTGTGTTTCTGTAGCTCTTCCATTGAAAACAAATTCCAAGAAGGTCCATACGTCACAGCGAATAGCAAAACCACTCCGTTTCTCAGAAATTCTCCAACGGTGTGAGACCACGAGCAGGAAAAAAGAGCAAAACAATGAATCCTGGTTGGTCTTTTCTTGATTTTTATCAAGTTACACATACGATTAAAAGACAATAACACACACATGAAAGCATTTTTTAAAGTTTATGCTTTAAAAATAGCCCTTATGATTTGGCAATACTTCCACTATTAACATGTTGATCAGTAAATAAGTTTAGTGTTGTCTGAGTGATTAATACAGGAAACTGAAGTGCATTTAAAAAGCTAGTCTGAGCTGATTTATGTTTGTTCAGAGAGAAGCGGGAACAGAGAGGCTCCCATGACTCAGGACGCATTTACGGCACATGTTTACTTTTAAAGCCCACTTTCCCACACAAGCAAACATGTTGGATTGTCACCTCCAAAAGTTTTAAATTATCGCCTCTCAAGATAAAGTGAATTAAATTATACTGACAGTGGGGTTTTTTTCAGTCTTCCCAGTCCGTGTTTTGTTAAAGTTTGAAGAGAAAGCCACAACAGCAGCTATCAGCAGCAGCTCGGCGACCCGGCACATGTCAAACCCACCGAACAGACGTCGCGTGTGCAAGGTTCAAGGCCGAGGAAGAGCGGAAGTGTTGGGACGATAACGCAAATGAGAGGTTGTGACACTTCTTTAGACGTTTGGGTAAACACTCAGATAAGCTCACATCTCCGTCAGAGAGAAAGAAGCTACGCACCGTGTACGATTATAAATCCGTGATATCATCAATCACTTCTCCTGATGTAACTCCAACAGCAGACACACATTGTTCCTGACACCGAGGTCTGGTCTGTTTTTTGTTTGCACAGAAAACGTCTGGTTTACAAATGAAGGTTTGATCCGAATCCTTTGACATGATTAATCATTAATTTCTAAAGTTCAGGCACAATGATTCTGGATTTTTCTAGTTGCCTCCACAGCTGATGGACTCATGCTGTTATCGGGGATGTTTTCCTACCGGCGGCACGTTTTTTTTGTTTTTGTTTTGAAGAACATCCAGTTTTAAGTTGAGGTGTGTGTGACTCAGCGGGTTTCATTAAGGGTTTATTAATAATAACAATAATAATAATATCTAGTTTGGTATTTCCTCTGTGTGACCAACTATACAACATGTAAACACAGGATATCATCATCACAAATACAAACCTTGATTAATTATGGATTTATAAACATATCATATAAAAACAGAGGTGACTAATATCACTTAAATGTGAATAATTCAAAACTGTATCACCTTTCAATAATTACACTATTTCAAAGTTAACAAATATAATATTTGCTCTTCTTAACAATCAAAAACAAACACTTTAAAAACACTAAATTGAAACTAGGGGTAGATTTGTAGATTATACTTTAATAAACAACATTAAAGGGGCCTGATGATGCATTTTTTTAATTCATTTTTTGCTAGATAAGACCAAGATAGGGCTGCAAGGCGGTTAGCATTGTTGCCTCGCAGCTAGACGGTCGCCGGTTTGCGTCCCGGTGAGTGGAGATTTCAGGAGGAGTTTAAAACATTTAAACATTTACATTTAAAACATCATTACTGTAAGAAAGTTTAGATTCAGAGACTGCAAACCTCTAAAATCTATGCAATTCATATCCACGTTTGATCAAATGTTATCAGTAGCGCGATTGGTCAGGCTGCTGTCTCGTGAGCACTGTGTGCCTTTCAAACGAGGCTGGTCTCTCTCTCTCTGGAAAAACACAGTCTGAGCAAAGGTCAGCGATGGTCCAGGGTCTGCTCAGCCGGCCGACTGGTGTCGTGTGTTCAGGAGCAGGTGAGCTGTAAGGTCACATCCTCACCTGTCAGGGAAGTGATACGCCTTAAATGTCAGCTGGAATCATTTGGAACCTGCCCAAAAACCTTGTAGGATTGTTGACACAATAATTGCATCACTCTGAAGTTAAACAGTAGAATATTTGCTCCAAAGTGATGTACAAAGCTAACAGTCTTAAATTCACCAGCCAGTATGTTGGTGTATCCACATCCATCCATCCATCCATCATCTCTACACCTTAATCCTCACTAGGGTCATGGGGGGCTGGAGTCTATCCCAGCTGACTCAGGGTGAAGGCAGGTTCACCTGGACAGGTAACCAGTCTATCACAGGGCTACACTTAGAGACAGACAACCAAGCACACTCACATTCACACCTACGGACAATTTACAATCACCAATTAACCTCAACATGTTTCTGGACTGTGGGAGGAAGCCGGAGAACCTGGAGAGAACCCAGAACCCAGAAAGATCCCAGGCTTCCTAATTAATTCATTTGTTTTATTGTTATTATTATTTTAAATCTCTGATTCTAGCTTCTTAAATGTGAATATTTTCTGCTTTCTTTCCCCCTCTTTGACGGCAAACTGAATATCTTCGGGTTGTGGACAAAACAAAAACATTTGAGGACATCATCTTGTGAACTATTTACATTTTATCAGCTGAAGAACTGAAAATAATAGTTAGCTGCGTCACTATTTACAAAACTCTGACAGATAACACAAAAGCAGGACACATGGGGGCAAGATAACAAGAAGAAGCACGATTGCAAGGCAAAATTAAAGTCGAATTAAGATATAGTTAAAAATAAGAGAAAAATAGACAAAATTAATAAAAAACATATGAATAATAAAAACAATTAGAAACCTTAACAAGCAATAAAAAGCAGGTCTATAAAAGTTTTTTTTTAATTCCAAAAATATTTATAATAACAGAGGATTTACAAAAAAATCCAAGAATTTACAGCAGATTTTAATTTAAAGATAAAAAATAAAAAACAAAAAAACTGGTGTCGTGTCGCCCCCTGCAGGACGGCTGACGTCACGTCCGACCTGTACACCGGAAACCACGTGGTTCATCTGTGAACATGCGCCTCCAGCAGCAGCAGCAGGGATTACTTCTGTACACCACCGAAAACCTGTAACGCACCGAGAACATACAGTAGAAACATGGCAGGAAAGTCGGAACTAAAAATTAACTCTCAGTTCGCGCAGAAATACGACAAATACCGACAGAAGGAGGAGCTGCAGAGACGTAAGTGTGTCGCTGTTAGCTCGCTGCTAGCTAGCTGTCATGCTAACTAGCCAACGTGGGGAAGCGTAACCAGCTGGGTTGTTTTCTCTGTGTTTTGTGTGATTTACGAGTGTAATACGTGTTGTCTCCGTGCAGTGAAGGACCGATATGGAGACCGAGGTGATGACAGTGACTCTGAGTCGTCTGAGTCCAGCTCTGATGACAGCGAAGTGGTTAGCATCCCCTGTAGCATCCACACTGACAACACAGCAGCATCAGTAACAGGCTGTGGTGTCTGATCTGTGTCCGTTTGACCCCCTCTCAGGAACTGGACCCTGAAGTGGAGCGGGATTTCTACAGAACACTGTCACTGCTGAAGAAGAAAGACCCCAAGATCTATGAGAAGGATGCAAAGTTCTACTCAGAAGGTGATTGTGAAGTCTGATCACTGGTGTTGCTCTTATAGTTTTATTATAATCAAGTGATTTTATTGTGTTGTTTGCTTTCAGAAGCGTCCACCAGCGATGCTGTGCCTTCAACCTCGAAGAAAGCAGTGAAGCCCATGTATCTGAAGGACTACGAGCGTAAAGTGATCCTGGAGAAGGAAGGGTGAGTGAGTATGAGTTTGCCAGCTGTTGTGTCTTAAAAACAAACCGTAACAAGACTGATCGCGTCTTACTGACAGAGCAGGAAAGCACAGTTTTTGATACAACAGGACATGAGGTGTCCCATATCTATGTCCAGTCATGAATCAGGAACTGAAGCTCTGAGAGTGGAACTGGCCACCCGTGAATCCCTAACTCTCACCCTGGGTGTAAACTGCACAGTCAGGGGTTTTACAAACTAAAGTCCTGCTCGTCGCTTTTGATGGCGTCTCATGTGGTAAAGCTCTGTCGCTTGTTTTAAATCGATTACACAGTAAATATTGGACTGTAGCTTGGCTTATAAAAATCCTAAATCAAATTGGAATATCTGTCTGGACAGTTTCATTATTCTATAAATTAATGATATGTCAGCCCTGTTAATACTTATAGAAGTAGCAGAAAAAGTCAAGTTAAGTCAGCTTTATTGTCACTTCTGCCACATGTACAACATACAGAGAAGTGAAATCGCCGTACTCCGAGGCCCCACGGTGCAAAATGAACATAGAAAAAAAGTATAGAAATAATAAATAGAAAAAAAGAAGGTGTGATTCCAATGCCTTAAGTCAGATTGAAATAGAGTTAGTTTAAAGTAAATTGCTAAACATTATTTTAATTGTTCTTTTACAAGAGATTTGAGTATTTTTGTGAGTCACGATTGTTTTGAGATTTGACGATAATCATTTCATTTGCTGCTACGTTTGTGGAGAGCAAGAACAGACCTATACGAAAGCTAAGATTGAAAGTTGGAGTGATCAGAAACCAAACAGATATCCCTTTTTGAACACGCGCTTTACTAACAGTGGGTACAAAGAGCTCTCTTAACACAAAGCAACCTCCAACAGAATGAGGCATAAGGAGGGAGAGGAGTTAGATAAAGAGAAACACAATATTTTTTTTGATGTAAACAAATGGCAGAGGTTCTGGTGGACAAAATATACAAACAGTCATGTGAGAAAGTGGTGTAAGATAACCGGTGGAACAGCTGAAAGGTGAACTGGACTGTGAAAGGAAAAAATGTGGCACTCTAATGAGCATTTTTGTTTTTATTTTACAGCAAATATGAAGATGATGACGACAGTGATGACGAGGAAGCTGCCATGAGAAGAGAGGTAGTTACCAAACACTTTGCTCCTTCAGGAATCAGCAGTGACGTTTCCTTTATTAATCACGTTTGTCTTCTTTTACAGAGAGCAGCGTCTCCGAGCTACATGCAGGAGCAGAGGGAGCTGAAAGAAAGGTAAGACGAGACATCCTGCAGGCGTCCTTCAGAAGAACCCGCAAACCACTGATGGAAATCTTTCTGCAGCTTCCGGAAGTTCATCCAGGACAGTGGCGATGAAGATGAGGATGAAGGTGGCGAGGGAGGCGGTGTGTCCCAGCTGCTGACCAGGAGGATCAAAACGCAGGAGGAGAAGGTCAGAAGCCGCCACCAGTTGCTCCTCGTTGGGAAACAGATGTGTAGAAGTTTTAGAGGTTGAGATGAATTTGTCTGTGTGCAGGATAAAGAGGAGGCGGATTACGTGGACTGGCTGAAAGGTCAGGCCGAGCTGGAGGGTCCAGAGGAGGTGAAGGACATGGTGAGTGTAGATTGGAGGGTGTGCAGGAAATTCTTTAAAAAGAAGCTCGAGTTAATAATGAGACTGACTTGTGCTGGGACAGAAATACTTGAGAGACTTCTGGAACGACCCCGAGCTGGACGAGAAGGAGCGTTTCCTGAGAGATTACATGCTGAACAAAGGCTACCTGGATGAAGACGAGGACGATGAACGGTAAAGAGACTGTTTTTCTGTTTTTCTCTGAAGTGAGGGAAAGTTGTAGCCTTCATGTCGTCCCTACTGTGACGCTGCATGTCCTGAATGCTTTCAGGATCCCAACCTACGACGAGGTGGTCCAGGACGACGTGGAGGATTCTGAGGAGGAGGGCGAGACCTTCTTGGAGCGTCAGGCAGACTTTGAGAGGAGCTACAACTTCCGCTTCGAGGAGCCCGACGCTCAGCAGATCAAGACGTATCCCCGAAACATCGCCACGTCTGTGCGCTCGAAGGACGACCGCAGGAAACGCAAAAGAGAGGAAGTGAAAGAAAGGAAGCAAAAGGTGCTAAAAAAAAGTGTAATCAAACCGAGCTCAGGATCCTTCAATACGCCTTCATTCATGAGCTAACACGAACCTTTGTCCTGATGACTGTTTCAGGAGAAAGAGCAGAAGCAGGAGCAGCTGAAGCAGCTGAAGAACCTGAAGAGAAATGAGATCATGGAGAAGCTGAAGAGGCTCCAGGAGCTGACCGGCAACGAGCAGCTCGCCTTCAGTCAGACTGACTTGGAGGGAGACTTTGATCCGACACAACACGACCAGCTGATGCAGGTCAGCGGATACACAGCCTCGTACAGAAACATGAACACAGACAACAACTCACAGTTTGTATTTTTGCACAATTTAGACTTAAGTGACTAAAAGCTAACAGCAGTTATCAAGTCCCGGCTTATCAACCCCTGTGCTACAAAACTCAGCATTTAAGGAGTGCAGAGAGTGGTCTCGTTATTGAGCCTTTGAAAACTAAAAACACAAGAGAATACCTTTAAATCTAAAAACAACCTAACATCTGACGCTTACACTTGTAGTACAAATGACGTCTTTACTTCAATACAAGAACAACACTGATTTTGTTAAAACTTTAGCGTTTATTGGGCTTTTATTCGAGCACACAGCCAATAGTATTGTGCATATAAACATCCTAGTTTTTTACAAGCAGGAAGGCAAAACGATGAAACAAAGACAGATAATAAGCAATTGCTGGAATTGTCTATTATCAAAGAAGGGCATGTACAAGTCCTGTAATCTAGAAATATGTCAGTTTGTCCATAGATGTTTTCCACTCATCATCCATTTCTTCCATTTACTAATAATTTTTCCTCAATCCAAGCTGATAGGACATTGTTTTCCACAGAATAATCTCTCCTATAATTTGCTCTGTAGTAAAGGGTTCAGTATGATGTCGGTTCTTCTTGTTGCTGCCTATTTTCAGTGACGTATTTATATTTCCAAGCCATTGCTTATCCCACAATGTCAGTATTTATGTAAAAAAAAAAACAAGCATGTGTGTGCTTTGCCTCTCTAATGTCCCACATGAACCAGCAGAGTCAGTTTGTTTACTCTTTATTTTAGGTTTAATTAGGAAAGACTTTGGTATCAATCGTCCTCCACATCCTTGAATCTGTCGAGGTGCATAGTAGAGGTGCTGATTCTTTATTCTTTTTCTTTATCAGCTGGTGAGGATGCTGACTGTTTAGCCTGGGACGTTCAGCTTTAGCCTCAGTCTGTTAGCATGAAATAATGTATGTCGTGAATATTTAAGAACTCTGTTGTGGGAAATCACAAGACGCCAGCTAGAGACGTTAGCGTAATAAATTAGCCTTTTAAGGCTAATAAAACCTGCTGTTGTCGCTTAAAAAAACAAAAACGTTTTGTAGAAATAGGAAGCCTGCTTTTCTGTAGCTCTGTCTGAACTACAGGATCCATTCTATCACCGTTACCGACACTTTCAGGGAGAAGTTGGACTCAGTCGTCACTGTGAGCCGTACCAGAACAGTTTGACTTGCATAGCAACAGTATCTAAGGGGGGGGCGGGGCTAATCAAGCTGTTAGTTATTATCTAATTGGCTGTTCTGCAGCTGCATTGTGTCGGCTTGATTCCTCAGTGTGCAGCTGCCTCCCATTGAAGAAATCCAGCATTTAAACCAGCTGACAACAAGTTCTGGTCACAGTTAAGCTAACCAGCAGTTTGTTTTGACAGAAATTCTTTGGGGACCAATACTACGGAGAAGAGGAGGAAGAGAAGCCTCAGTTTGAGGACGACGATGAACTGGAGGGTAAGCGGTGAAATGTGCATGTTTTATTTGAGTGCAGGTGTACTTCAGGTGTCCTCGTGGGGTTCAGGTCCCTGTAATTAAACTGTAAATGTTTCAGGTGGTGTAACTGTGAGTTTGTTGTAACTTCACACCTTGTGGTTGTGCGACAGAACACTGGAACTGGGACACCTGGAGGGGAGCGGAGCGAGAGGAGGAAGAGTACGGCGAGGAGGATGAGGAGTACAACGAGCCTCACTGCGACGATGAAAACTTCATTGTGAGTTTTAACAGTCATGCTGTCATTGTATTGGTCGGTTGACTTGTTCGTTCTGGTTTAACCGTCCTTTAAATCCTGCGTCTGTAGATGGATGCCGACTTTGACCCCAACCAGCAGACGGCCTCCAAGAAGCAGAAGAAGAAGGAGAGGAAGAAGATGCAGAAGGAGGATCTGCCGCAGATGGGCAAGAGGAAAAAGAAGTCTCACTTTGCAGAGGTCATCAACACAAACAAGCCTGTGTTTGATCCTCGTAAGTCCTTTAACTCGACATCCTGTGAGTGGAACATGAGTCCAGAGTGAGGGGTTGTAGTTCGTATCTAACCGGAGACGGTTTGTATTTCAGAGGAGAAGAGCTTTGAGCAGTACCTGGATGAGTACTACAAGCTGGACTACGAGGACATCATCGACGACCTCCCGTGCAGGTTTCGCTACAGGCAGGTTCTGGCCAACGACTTCGGCCTGTCGACTAACGAGGTGAGAACCAGAGCTCCAGGTACCTCAGAGACCTCTCAGCTGCTCAAGCTTTCCTTTCTCACACGGGACAAACATTTACACTGGATTTACATCTACAACTCTAAACGGTTTGCTCTCGGAGTTAGTTTTTCTTTTTAAAGAGAGCTTAAATGTTGAACTAACAGCTAATAAATGCTGTTGGCGTTCAACAGTGCAGCACACAGCAGAATAATTTTTTTGATCCAGTGCTTTAGTAACCAGCTTCGTTAATGCTGTTTTATTTTAAATATTTGGCTTGATTTCAACTGTTTTCCAAGCA